GACTCAATGGCTGAATCAGATGAGGGGTGTCCTGGTTCCAAGTATGCCTGGGTGGTACCAGAAACGCAAAGCCTGCACCAGTCCCGTTGATGTCAGCAACTTCGGATGGTCATGAGGTGCGGTAGCAGATGATGTGTCAGGCAGGATTAGTTCTGGGAGCTGGGAAAAGAGAAATAGGTAATTTTCAGCACCTATGATGTGTTTGGAATGAGCCAATTTAATAGCTTTCTGCCTCTTACCTTTTCACGGACTAACAGAATTGCAGGATGATGGGAGGGACCTCTGGAGATCACCTAGTCCAACCTTCCTGCTTGGAGCAGAGCCAGGGGTTGCTCAGAACAGGTTGCAGGGCATTATCCAGTCAGGTTGTGAATATCTTCAAAGGTGAAGGCTCCACAGATTCCATGGGCAACCTGTTCTGGTGTTAAACCACCCTCACCGATCTGTGCCCACCGCCTCTTGTCCTTTCAATGGACAAAAAGCTAGAAGGCTCTAGCTCCGTTTGTCCCTGCCTTGCCATGCTTCCACCCCGTACCAGCCTCTGCACCCAGCCAGCTCAACTTGCTCACCCCTCCAAAAGCAGCAGGTCCCTGCAGAAATAGCTCACCAAGGTGTCTCCTGAGTGCTGGAGCTGGTACATGGGAAGGGGCAAGATGACTCTCGTGGTGGATACGCGTTGTTGAATCTACTTAGCAGGTAGTTTCACCACTGGTTGGTTGTCTGCTCATCCACTGACAAGGAGCTGCGCTTCAGAGCAGCATCGTTTCTCCTCCTGTGAGCTCGTCCCTACTCACCTGTCCGTACTGCAATGCAATTCGTACACGTTTTCACCTCTGGTGAAGGTCCTCTCCTTTGCTGGTTTGATCTAGCAACCTCAACAGTGTTCCCTACGCCTTGGAGGAAAGCAAATATCTCTATAGGGAAGACTAGTCTAATTAAGGACAGGCCAGAAGTGCACGCTGCAATGCAGGATAGAGCAGAGATGTTCTCTAGCTCTGGTGTCCCAGCTCCCATCTCTTGATTTTTTTCTGCCCATTCAATTTAATAATGCACTTCTGGAGCTTTCTCTCTGCCAAGCATCCAGCCTTTCCTTTCTGATCTCTCTCTCTTTCTTCCATAGAAACTAGTCTTGGGAGGGCTTCAGGTTCCAGAGCACTAGAAGTGAAAAATAAGGTGGAGAAAATGAACTTCAATTTAATTTCTCTAAATCTCAATTCAATCCAAATGGGATGTCAGATTTGTGCCCCATAATTCAGGTTGGACAGTTCTGAGTTAGGTCTGGATTTACCAGAAAGAAAACAAGATTTTTTTTTCCCTCTAAGTCTTCTTGCAAAGGAGTTATTTGTACTATGTCCAGCGGGTGCAGAGCAAGTGGGAAACCTCAGGGGAAACCGCAGCTCATTTACTGCTCAAATGAAAATTGAAAAAGAGTTGAAAACATGATGTGCACGATTTCGAATTTTATTTTATAAACAACAGTTGTTGCCTGTGGAAGAGTGAATGTAACAGAGGGATTTAATCTTTGTAAACAAGAGACAAATGCATCAAAACAGACCCTCAGGCATTTAACAAGACTTTAAATTTGACCTGGCTTTGGAGAAGCAGGGAAGAAACAGAAGCAACTTGTCTGCTCTTAAGAGTTTTAGCTGTGAAGGAGACAAATAGGGAGATCTAAGGGCTGCACTCTTTGTGCCTGTGTTTTATTAGAGTCATTGCTTCTGAATGTACGTTTTTTGCCTGCCCGGGTGGATATTTGCAGGGACTGGGAGAATCTGCACCATGTTTCTAGAGCTCCCTGGCTCTGCATGCCACCCAGGCGATGCTGCTCTGGAAGATGCATTAGTCAATGCCAAGTTATTACAGCATAATTCAATGGTGAAGAAACAAAATGGACCTGGCTTTAAACTCCATGAACCATGGTATTTTCAGAGCGGTTTGGTAAGTTTGTTTGTTCTTAGCTCACAGTTAGCAAGGCTTTCCACGCCGTGCCTGTTTCTAGATATTTTTATTGTGCATAGTTATGGGAGGGTCTTCTCGCCTTCCTTAAGTGTTGCTTGCTCTTAAGGTGGATTTGGATCCTCCTACATTTGGAGAATTTGCTAATAGGGCCTGCTTCTCATTTCTTCCCCTCTCATTAGTCCTACACAGACTGGTGTTGCTCTTTGGTAAGGAAGAGGACTCCCTAAGTGTCCCGTGCTGTCATCAGCTCCTGAAAACCACTGGTAAAAGATACTGCAGAACAAAATGATGATGGAGAGACTAGCAGTGGACTTGGATGGAGCTTCCCACAGGCTGGTGAAGGGTCTCAGACCTACAATCACTGAATTGTTTGGCATGGGGAACAACGGTTCTGTTAAAACCACTGTGGCACCAGAAGACAGAGAGGTGGCTAACATGGAGATGTAGGGATCTGCAGGTGATAAACCTCATTGCTGGACCGGAGAGGATGAGGACTTCCTCTAAAGAACAGGCTTGGAGATCTTTGAAGGAGTTAGGAAGGAATGTGGTCAAGGTGAACCTGTTACAATCCTCCACCTGGATTTCCCAAAGGTATTTGGCCAAGTCCCTCAGGAAAAGCTCCTAAAGAAATGAAGCAGCCCTGGAATAGGATGGAGGTCTTTACAGGGAAAAGTAATTTGCTTAAACCTAAGGAACAAAAGGTAGGTGGAAGCAATCTGTTTCTGTAGTGGAAAATGCCAGGGATCTGTACAAGGACTGTGTTCAGCGTATTCAAAGTGAGCTCAAAAGTAGGCAAATACTGAAGTTTGCTGCTGAAGCAAAGTTACTCGAAGTTGTTCAGATGAGGGCCAGCTGTGGCAAGAGGGCAATAAAAAAGATGCAATTCAAATGTACATAAATATAAAATGGTGCACATGGGGGAAAACCAATTTTAACTCTATTGATAAAACAACAGGTTCGGAGTTAAGTGTTACCATGTGGAACGCTGGTATTATAACAGCCCGCGCTGTGAAAATGCCGGTTCAGGGTTAGTAGCCATCAAGAAGACATAATTATTTCCAGCATGCTAGAATTATCAGGAAAAAAAAATACATAGCGAAACAGAGAAAATTGCTGGGAGTGTCATGGGAACTTGGTGCAAGTGAGACATCGTGAGATCTTGGAGGCTGCTTTGGGGGCAGAGGGGACCTTTGCCAGAGTGCCTGGATTCACACAGGGCCTCAGGATAGGTGCCTGTGGGCTGCTCCGGCCCAGCCCTGGAGCGTTAATGCTCCTGGGAGAGGGGACCTCTGTGCAGATACGTGCTGGGCCTTGCAGGCATAGCAGCTCCCAGAAGGGCAGTGCTTGCTGAGTCACCCTTGCCCGTCCCCGGCTCCACTGCAAGGGGCCTGCAGGGAGGCAGCGGCTGACGAGCTGCGCGCCTCCGGCACCTGCAGAAGCCACCACAGTGACCCTCGTGTGCCAAATCCATTTCTGAAATAGAATTTGTAATGGTTTTTTTTTAAAAAACATATATAAACCAGGAAAATCCTTTGTCCTGTGGTAACAGGTGGGAAAGCGAAGCTAGGTTGAGCTGGAGAGAGAGAAAGCAGAGGAGTGGTGTAGTGACTCCTGCTGTGACTGCTCGAGGTCTCCACCAGCAACTGCTCTTGCACCTGCTCCATCCTCCACTAAGACCCTGAGCAGCTTTCCTGCTGCTCTTCCCAGGCCTGGAATCAGGATTACAGCCTCATCTTGCTCAACTCTCACTATGTGCGCCATCAGGTCGAATCTTAGTATTCAGTGATTAAGATCTGCGCTCACATCTTTGTGGGCTTGGTCACATTATCTAGTTGAGATTAGATCCGAGTAAAAGGCCTTGTCCCTTGGAAATCATCCCTTGGGTCCTGCTGCTTGGAAGATGACAGACCCTGTCCCCTTCAGCTTCTCTTCTACTGCATGGAAGGAAAAGAAGACTTAACCACCATCACACTTCAGCAGATGCAGTAATTGCCCAAAGTTCCTTTCTCCGGCCTCTCTGAAGTTGGTATCGCCTCATCGCCAACTTCATCCTCCAGAATCCTTCAGGTAACCCCTTGCCTTGCTCTTGTCCACCTCCAATTCATGTGCCGTGACATGGCAAGCATCAGAGCACATCCCGTCCTGCTGGGTCAGCACTAAGTATTTCCAACCTGGTATCAGGGAGCCAAGGGAGTTTCTTCACCTCAAATTGGCCTTTTTCATCCCAGATGCACAGAGCTGCTCCAGGAGACACTGACTGCAGGCACAAGCTTTCTCCAGCTCTTTTGCAACCATGAGTGAATTTCAAATTTTGGGGGGGGTAGAGGGGACACTCACCGGGGACCCAACCCATGCATCTGGTTGTGAGGCAGGAGTAGGGGTGGTGGTGGTGGTTGTGGGTGGGATGGTGGTTGTAGGGGGGTGGTTGTGAAGGTGAAGTTGTGTGGGAGATGAATGGGAGGTGGTGAAGGGGGTAGTTGTGAGTGGAGGACAGGTGGGTGGGATTGTGGGGAGGGAAGTTGTAGGGGGCAGTTGTGGAGGGGGCTGTGAGGGGTGCGCTGTTGTAGCAGGGTGGGTGTGAGTGGAGCGGTGGTTGTGGGGAGGGCACTTGTGGGGGAGGCTGTGAAGGGGGTGTGGGTGTAGGGCAGTGGTTGTGAGGTGGTGCTTGTGGGGCTCGGCCAGCGTGAGGGGGCGGCTGTGAGAGGCGGTTGTGAGGGGGCGGCTGTGAGAGGTTGTGGTTGTGAGGGGGCGGCTGTGAGGTGGTGGCAGTTGTGAGGGTTGTGAGAGGTTGTGGTTGTAACGTGGCGGTTGCGAGGGGGCAGTGGTGAAGGGGGTGCTGTTTGGGGGGGGGGGAGGCGGGGTGCCGGTTGTGAGGGCGACACTCGGTCGCGCGCGCACCGCGCAGGGCGGGAAACACTTGAGCGGGGCGGGGCCGCGCGCCCAGGCCCCGCCCCTCTCAGGCCCCGCCCCCCCGTGCCTATAAAGGCGGCGGCGGCGGCGGCGGGCGCGGCAGGCGGGAGCGGCTCCCGCCGAGGCCGGACATGGCGGCGCTGCGCTGCCTCCTGCTGCTGCTCTGCGGCGCCGCGCTCGGGCCCGCCGTGCACCTCGACTTCGCCGAGCACCGCAGCCAGGCGGCCAAGATCAAGGTCAACCCGCGCGGGAACCTCTGGGCCACAGGTACTCAGGCTGGGGAGGGTCTCCGCGCTTTGTGGGAGGCTCCTCGTGTGGCTTTGGGTGGTCCGTCTTTTGGCGACAGGTTGGGGTCATCCTCCCTGTGATCCCAAATGGGTGTAAAAGCTCCGGTCCCTGGCACCTTGGGGAGGTGACAGGGGATCTGTCAGGGTGGCGAATGCTTAGGGTCCTTGCTGAGCCCATGTGGGTGCCACAGCCTGCAGGAGAAGGCACCCCGCTTTCACCAGCGTCTGGGAGGGCTTTGGGTGGTGACGAGGCAACCTCAGCTCTGTGGGGGCATTTGCACTTCTTTAACGCAAGAGATCTTGATGGCTGAAGACAAGCGTCCAGTGTGGAACAAAGACCTGGCACTGCTGAATGATTGCTGGATCTTTGTCGCTTTGGGCTGTTTTAGGTGAAGGTTTGCGTGGTGCTTCTCATGGGGTTGTGCTGCTGTGAGGTGGCAGGTGATGTAGCTCAGTGTCCTGCCACAGCTCCTGCCCCCCTTTCTCCAGGTGTTTTTGTGGGTGCATGAGTGTGTTGTATTGCAGGTCACTTCATGGGGAAGAAGAGCGTCTCGAGCTCGCCGCACCTGGAGTCACCAGACGAGCCTGCTGTGCCGACCGTTTTTGGTCCCTCTCTTAGAGCCCTGCTGGAGGATATGATGGAACTGCTTACCCGTGAGCTCCTGAAAATCCTCTTGCAAGAAAGACTTTTGAACGAGAACCAAGGAAAATATGATCTTGCTGACCAGGTGAATATTGTCTCTTGGGAAGGTTGGTCTCGGATGCCGTGATCAGGGAGGTGTTAGAGATGCGAGTCTGCCACAGCCAGCCTGGCAGGAGATTATGAGCATCTGCCCAACTGATACGATACTTCTTCCCTGCCCACTCTCTTCTGCTCCTGTTAACCGTACTTAATCCATCTTTTAAGGGCAACCATAAAGAGGGGAAGGAAAGGTATCTTTAGGCTTGTGTCCGGTCAGATAGCTGCTATTTATCCCAAGTGTTTGGGAAGGGCGTGAGGATGGACAGGGAATGTAGTGGTGGAGCTTCAGCCCAGGGCTTGTTAATGTGAATCTGGATGCAGAACAGAATGGCTGCTGAGGCTACCATGGAAAAATGACCCCTCACCTTGACTTATGAGCTACTGCAGGGGCTGAGATATCCACCCCACCTCCCATCCCTCTAGAGAGTAAGTGACGTGCAGCTTTGTATGTGGAAGGAAAGGAGCCAGTGCTGCAGAGAGATCTTGGGCTTTTGATGCCCCAATCTTGGTGGTGTGTTGCCTTGACCAGTTCCCTTGTTACTGGGGGACACTTAGTTCTTTTAGCTTGGCTTGCAAAGGGGACGTGTACGTGGCTCAAACCGTTACAAAGAGCAGGTCTCTGGGAGCGAGCAGGTACCATCTGCAGCAGAAGCTCTGGTAGACCTGCTGTGTATCAACAAGCCCTTGTCTGCCTCTACTTTGTGTAGCTTTTGTTGTAGAGCTTACCCAAATTCTGGTGGAAAATCCCCCAGCGGGGGCAATATGAACATGTAGATCCTTGCAGGGATGTGGAGATGACATTGCTTGGTTTGTGTGGCTCACGCCAGCTGCTGTCTCATGTGTCCTCCCCTTCCATCTCACCCTTCCTGGTCACTGCAGGAGAGCCCGGAATGGATGAAACTTGCTTGGGTGAGGTCTGCGCGTACTGTCCTTTGAGCTGCCGTGCCTGAGGATGGATACAGTAATATTGCATGTGGATAAAATGGCTACTGTCGTCTGGATTCAGGCAGTGCTTGTTCTTCTTGGTCCTTCTGGGAAGGAGCGGGTGGAGCCGAGCTGCAGGGATGTGAGCCTGAGTAGCACTGATGGCTCAAACACTTTCCTGACTTGATTTCAGTAGGACAAGATAAATTGAGGCTCCCTCAGAGAACTGGTCCCACCGGGATGGGAACTCTGTAGTGAAGAGACAGATGGGCTTTGCTGAAGAAACTAGCCCGTTCTGCTTCCCTTGAGGTGCCGTGTGTTATGACTACTGCACGCCTGCAGCTTGTGTTTCTTAAGCCCAACTGAAGGGGAGGTAAGGGCTCTGAAGGTCCTAGATCTTCCTCCAAACTTCCCTAGGGAGCCTGTGAGGAGAGTATTTTGCTGTTGCATGAGTAGAGATGGAGTAGGGCTGGTGCATGTGCTGCCCTGCCTCATGTACTAGGATGGTACTACTACTGGGTTGCGCTAGATGATCTCTAGAGGTCTTTTCCAACCTTAAGGATTCTGTGGTTCTGTGGTAGCGGAGTATGTGGTGTGAGTTCAGTTAAAGCGGTCCTGTGGCTTTCATCCATGTAGATAAGTCATGCAGTCACTGCTGTCCCTGCAGTCGTGCTGGAGTGGAGGCTGTCGTAGACATGAGAGCTCTTTCAAGCAGCCACCTGGATATCTGTGCATCTGCTGGCCCTGCTGTCAGTGCTCACCCCCAGTGCTTGAAGGCAGTATCTGGCCAGCTTTGAGCACCAGCCTTTGGGGTGTGTATGTGCGCGTGCGCTGGTGTTGAAGCTCCATCACTGGAGCCTGCTTTGGCTTATAGGGAGCTTGCCTTGGCTCACAGTCTAGCTGGCCAGTTACCTTGTCCTAGTGTCTCTCTAGTGACTTCTAAGCTTGGATGCCTGGTCTGTATCTGTCTCCTGTCTATTGCCCCTTCCCAAACCACTCACCTCTTCTGACTTGACCCAGTTGGTGCCTCAGGCTGTGTGTGGCAGTGAAGGCTCTGCTCTGTGCAGGGTGTTGCACCCAGTTCTGGCCTCTTGGCATCTATGAGCACCTCACTTGACTCAATCACTGCCCTCCCTCTTTCCCCCCGCATATTCTTGCCTTCAGGTTGCTGGTTGATCGTACAGAGCTGTTTCTCCTTGGTGTCTCTAAGCACTGTCTAGGTTTTGCATTTCAGTGGGTCCTTGGTATTCTTTGCTCACATGTGTGATACGATGCTTTGGTCGGTTCCTGCGACCTTTTCTGCTCTCTCCATCACTATGGCTGTCGTTGGACACCTGAGGTCAGCAACAAGCCTGTGCTTTAATGGATTTGCTTGCCATGTTCTCTGGTTATCTGTCAAGCTGTTTGACGTGAGTGAAGTTCTTCTTCCACCTCTGCTCAGGAACTATCATTTTAACTTTGATTCAGATGAGAAATGCACTGTCCTTGGGTCCTTCCAGACAGCAAAGCGGGAATTCTCATGTTCTCTAGGTGTTGCTCTGATGTACTTGCCGTGCTATGTGGTAGGATGAGCACTGGGACACAGATTTTTATTTAAAACATGAAATGGGCTTTTTTTCTTTCTGGAGTTGTCAGTGCTGATTAACAAACTGCTTCTCCCTTTCCATAGGACTTGAATCTTTTTGCTCGTTCTCCTCTCACATGAATTAGTCCTACTTGCTGCTGTTAGGATTTGGTCTTCTCAAAGCATCTCCTGTCCCTTTGTGGAGCAGGACTCCATGGGCTACTTCATGCTTTGGGCAGCAGAAATCACATAGAGCAAAAAAAGTTTTAAGCGACATGAAGCAGACGGGTCTTAACTCTCTGCGTGTTGAGGGCAGTGGTCACTGTGTCTCCCAGTTCCTGTGCGTGACAAGGATTCAACTGGCCAGGGAGGATCATCTCAGTCTCAGCGGGTGGTGGGAACAGTGTAAATAGCAACACTTTTCCAGGAGGTAAATGGCCTGTGCATATGGACTGAGATGACTTTAGTCACAAAATACTTTAGTTCCACAAAATACCTTAGCCCCTTCCCTTCTGTGCCTTGATTTCTGGTCTTGGGGCACTGCTCCTTGCAAAATTAAGCTCCAAGGCTGCTGTTCACCCCGTAAGCAACAGCTACGTGTGGGGCAAGCAGCTCACTGTTGTGCTCTTCTTTGTAGGAGGCAGGACTTTTAACAAAGGTACTGGAGAAGTATTTTTCAAGCTGAAGATGCACTGCCACGGAGGATGAGATCTGCAGGCTCCTCTACATACGACGAACGAAGGAGAGCAACTTCCTTGTGGGTTACTGTAGCAACATCACTTTTATTTTATTTTTTTCCTGTAATATTGTTAATAGTGATTGCTTGTATGAAAAGCAGAGCCTCCCTGTACATTTCCTGTATGTTTTCTGCTTTCTTAATGTCTCATGTGCCCTTGTGAATAAAAGCAGCCCTTTGCACATAGCAGCGCAGCTTTTCCTTGGGGAATAGAATGGGAGGAGCCTGTGGCTTGTGCTGGGGGATGGAGTAAAGGTGCTGGGATTACTCTCAGCACTGGTAGAGTTGAACTGTGAGTTATTTATCTATTTTTCCTTTTTAGCAATCACCATCAGTGGTATCAAGATGACCTATCTGGAGAGACTGACAGCGTTTAATAGCAAACCATTAGGAAAATAAAAGGCATCTTGTTCTGGTCCTGGGGGTGGTTTCTGGTCCCAGGTTGGTCTCCCAGCCTAGGACGGGTAGTGTTTCATACGTACACGTGTCCTGGAGCTTGTTTTGCTGTTCTTCATGTGCTGGCTGTGACCAGTAGGCATTCAGATTACTGCACGTGATTGAAACAGCCTCTCTGCAGGAGGCTGGACAGCCCCTAGAAGTGCCCAAGGATGGAAAACAAACCCTGCAATGAGAAATAGGAGAGCAGGTTCAGCACATGCTTTGAGAGGGCTTCTAGAGAGCTTTTCAGGTGCCAGGCTCTGACCTGATTTCCAAGAGGGAGAGCTTGAAGCTTTTTGCAGCTATGTAAACCCAGACCCAAGCCGAGATGGGAAAGGAGGGATCTAGAAATGTTCAGTGTTGAAGAAATGGATCTGAGTCTCCTACCTGCCCTACTAAAAGGTAATGTTGTAGATCATGCAGGTGAGTCTTCAGCTGAGGATTCTGATCTTCTGGAAGTGGGGCACGGGCACAGGAAGTCAGAGATATTCCTTCTTCCTAGTTATGGAGAGATAGTGGGAGTGGGATCACACCATCCTAGAAACTTGTGTGAATGATACACGGGATTGTGACGGAGCTATCTCCTTCCTGGGAGGCTTCAGCCAAGAAGAGCAGTACATGTGTTGCTTGTCTGTGTGCCTCCCACTGAAGGCAGATGTTCTTCTGGGTCCTCCTGTGTGAAATCTTCTCTGGAGATCTTCAAAACACGCTTGGATGCAATCCTGTGCCATGTGTTCTAGGTCACCTTGTGTGTGCAGGGGAGTTGGACTAGAAGATCTCTAAAGGTCCTTTCCAACTGTAGAGATTCTGTGATGTTGTGCACGTATGGAAAGAGATCGGTACATGTCTGATGGTCCTGCATGGCCCTGACCCAACATCTTCTGATGCAGGGCTCACCAGTATGGTGGTGCACTTCTATGTTGATCCCCATGCACTTGCAAATATTTTGTTCTTATGTCTTTTCAGGACAGGGTAAATTCTGATCTCTAAGATTGGGTGGGCATTGCTGTTTTCTTGCAGCACCCTGCAGGTTGGCCATCTCCCTGCTAGTCTCTAAAATTCAAAACCCCGTATGAACTACTAGCTCCAGGTGTCTATCTGGGCTGTAATCCCACAAAAGCATCCACATCTCTCTTTTTGACTGAAAGAGCAGGAGAATATGTCATCTGGGCTCACCAGGACCCTGCCACTCCAAGACTGTGGAGCAGAGCGAGAGAAGCAAGTGGGACTTCCAGCATGAGGAAGGGCTTAGGAAAAACAGAGTGCTGTCTCTGGTGAGAGTGGTGATTTTATACCAAGGCTAGTGAATTTTTCATTTTTTCCTTCCACACACAAGAGTTCTGTATTTGTTCCCCTTTCTGCTCTAGTCCAAGGCCATCCCTCCACGGTTCTGCTTAGACTCCTGAAGCTCAAATGAAGCTCCACGAAGCTCAAATGCCTCAACCTGCAAAACTGCACAGCAGCTGCAGCAATTCAGAGTGTGAATGTCTATGGGGTGACCACAGGATGTCTCCTGGACTTCTCCCACTGCTTTGGCTGTGGCATGACTGCAGAGACAGCAGAAAGAAATGAAGCAAGGTAAGAGAAATGGAGGCACATCACCTGCACCGTGGGCATCCTGTTTAGTTGCGGAGCTGTTCTGCGAGGAGGAGCTGGCTCGGGGAGATGCAGGTGATGGGCCACTGCCACCACTGGGTGTCATTGGTGCTCTGGGTTAGCACAGCGCTCTATGTCATGTTCGCTCACGCAGGACTGACTCACCTTCTACACACGCAGCAAATATCTCTGAGCTCATGTTAACATGCTTCCTCCTCCACAGTCTCTTGAGATTTCGCTTCCATAGGAAAGCAGTAAACCCCACAGTGAGGAAGCTTTTTGAGCCAGGATAGGAAGGGGCAGAAAGGAAAGCAGGCTGCTATCAGGAAACTGAGCAATCTTAGTTTTGTGTATGTCTTTGCCATACCCCGTGCTCTTCCAAGGACAGTCTATATCATCGTGATATGACCCCGAAACCCTGCCCTGACCAAGCTAAACACGGTAGTCCTGAGGCAGGAGAGAGTGGCCGTCCCAGCTAGATACCCACAAAGGTTTTTCATAGGCTTTCTTTGCAATGCCTTCCCCTGAGGAATATGTTCAGTGAATGGAAATAGTTCTAGAGCTGTAGGGACAAAAAGAGCCAGAGTTGGTTATTCTTTGGGGTTGAAGGCGCTTTGGGGTTACCAGATGAGGAGCAAGAAGGAACGCTGGACCTCTGGACTTGTGTGGTCAAGATGCTCAGAGCCCATTTCAAGTCAACGTTTATCCTATTACTCTAATCATATCTCTAGAAGCATCTTGCACTGTCTTACTGCCTCTCTCAAAAAGTTAATCCTGTTCAAAATAGCCTATGGAGATCCTACCTCTTTCACACTAATTTCTGCAAAATGGTCCTGATTTCTGGGCCTCTCCTAAGCTCCACTTCTAAGCATCATGATACTGCAGGACCTGGAGGAATGTGGGCTGTTCCTTGCAGCATGAGGGACAGACGTTCTCCAACCCCAAAGCGGGTTTATAACCTTGGCAGGAAGATCTTGTCTTGCAAGATCAAAAGTGATTGCAACAGGGTTGCACAATCCCTACAAAATCTGGGGTAATGCATGTCCAGCTTTGCGTTGCAGCCCATGGTGGGGTAGCACTACCATGAACAGAGCCCTACTCTGTTCATTGATTTCAAGGCTAGCATGGAAATACCAGATAGAGGAGTATCGGTATCGCTTTCATTAGACCTCTTAAAACAGGGATTGTGAGGGAAAGTTTGCTCTCTAAATTACAAGCCACACTGAAAGCGCTAATTACAGCCCAGCACCTCATGAAAAAGCAAAGCCTGGAAGAGACCAGCTTGTTTTTAGTTAGGGCAGACTCTGACAGGAATGGCTCTAAACTCTAATTTGCAGGGAGTGAGGGTTCCCCAAGCTTACACAGTAGAATTCCCAACCAGTCGTGTCCCTAAGGCTTAGGTGTCTTTTTAGTGCAGAAGGCAACATCCATAAAACATTGCTTATGCTTTATCTAAATGTTCAGCTTCATCAGGAACAATATTGCAAAATGCATCGTTTAGGGGAGGATTTTCCAAAATCACAGTGGAAGTTCTTTATTTTTTCAGCCAGTCCAAAGAGGTCAGAGGTGGGGCCATGGCTGGTGGGAACTAGGTGCCAAATGGCCCCTTCCCTTTTTCAACCCATCAGCTCTTCCGTGGGAAAGCAGGCAGGCAGAATGCTGCTGAGCTGCTGCAGGGACTGTGAATGCCCCCAGACTCAGTGATCCTCCCTTGCCAACCTGATGTCTGGCTCAAAAGTGCTCTTCTGACATGCTTTTAAAGCGCCAGATGTCTTTCACCCTGGTAGTTTCCAGACATGGTGTTGTCTTGAATTGCAAACATCTGTTCCACCATGGGAAAACAAAAGTTGAGCCTCTTGGAACTATTGAGCCCCAAGTTGAGCCCCATGAAACCATTCAGCTGCTCATGTCCTGTGGTGTATCCCAGGACACAGCATGGATGTGGGGCCCTGTCTTAGCCCTAAAGAGCTTTAGAGAAGGGTAGAGGAGCAATGTGGCAAAGGGACTGCCCATGCTGAAGGCTGGAGGGTGAAGCCTTGGGTGTTAGTGGTGCGTGCTGTGGTGGGTGAGCAGGCCTCTGACTGATAGAAGAGACCCTGGGGAGCAGAGTGTGGGGGCTCTGCTTGCTGTGCTCCGTGGACACGTTCACACCTGAGCACCTCACTCCTAGTCCAAACCCGTGGAGGATGCTCCTTGCATCTGCGCGCACCAGAGGGGCTGAGAACAAACCTCCTCTTCTGCTCTGTCCTTCCCCTCCATTTCTCCCATCCTCCCTTCAAGCTTCTTCCTTCAGCTGTTTCAAAGGATCCCTAGGCAAGTAGCTGCTATCATCTAGTGATGCTGCAGGTGCTCTTACCCACTGGCACTAGCAGCCTCCTCCTATGTTATCTTCATGGTTCCCTACGGTGTCCAGAAGACTCATGAGCACGAGTCAGACAGCTTGATCCCAGGAGCTTCATGCAGAGTCTGTTTACCTTCATTCCTTTTTCTCCAACGAGCCTTATCTGGAGTGGGACTAGCCAAGGCCTTGCTCCAACGGTGGGAGGAGGAGGCTGCTCTCCCTTGCTGGCTTCTGTAGCTTGCTAAAAGCCGTTGAGCAGTGTGGAAGTTGCACTAGGGTTTGCCCTGAAATGCTGAGCTGGTGAGTCCTGGGCCTGAAGGACTCCTGCAGCATCTGGTACGTGCCATCAGTATAGCAGCATGCGGGACTAATACTGTGCCATTCCACAATGCAAGTGGCTCTCATGGGAGCAGCTGTGTGTGCTGGATCCTGTGACGCCCTCCTAGTCTGCCCCTAGCAAGCACCCAAGGAGCCTGGGAGCCCCATTTCATTGCACAAAACGAAAAAAAAAATTGGATTTTTTTTTCCTGGTCCTCAAGAAAAGTTAAGGAAAGTGAAAAGCCCCCGCGCTCTACAGGCTCATCCATCACTGCCAGGGCGCAGTACCAGCCTGGAGCGTTCTTGCCTCATCGCCGTGCTGGGGCTTGGCAGGCGTGCCGGGCAGGTCAGACGCGGGCACGGCCGCAGGATCCAGCCTTTCAGAGAGGCGGGTGCTGGAGAGGACACTGGGAGAAGCACAACCTTGACATGTTGAGTTGGCTTCTCGCCCCTGCCCTGGGGAGGCGGCGTGGAGCAGAAGGCAGCGCTCCTTCCTCCAGCGTCCCAGAGCACGTTGCACCTCTGCAGGAACCAGTCCTCGGCATCGGCGGGGTATTGCTCATCCCGGCGGCCGCAGCGCTCCGAGACACAGCTGCAGGCAGAGGTAGGGCTGGCATGGGGACACGGGAGGCTCCCGGAGTGCGGGTTGGCCGATGCGCCTGGCATCGTGCTGCCGGAGACAGGGCAGCTTCGCTCTGTCCTCTGGCTTATACCCGTGTCCTTGAATGGAGTTACCTCTGTCTGAGGCTTAGGGAGGAACAGCCCAAAGGGCATGGCCCTAGTTTGTCCTTGCGGTGATTCACTGAGGACATCCTGGTGTTCAACACCGCAGTGCAGTGGGACCTAGGCTTTTTTTAAACAAAATGGCCCATCAGGAGAAAAGCAAGGGCCTATACAGAAGAGTGGAGGCCAAGAAAGGGCAGAGAAAGAGGCAGGCCCAGCGATTTGCATGCATCCTACATCTTGTCCCATCTGGGGACACGCCTGACCACGGCAGACAGAGGCCCAGTGCCTCTGAAGTTCCTTTGCTCTGAGATGTTCCTCAGGCAGATGAACGGCTTCCCAGAGAGGTGTTTGAGCATACGCACGCACACGAGATGTGACACGAGTAGGGCGCACAGACAGGATGGTTTCCTGGGGAGCTGGGTGACGCTCACGCCTGATGCATGTTCTGCTCGGGTCCCGCTGTAGGACCTGCCACGGGGGCAGTGGGGATGCGCGTGCGCACGGCCCTGCCTCCGGGCCTGCCTGGGACCGGCACGGCTTTGGCAGCAGGACAGCAGACAGCCCCGTGGGGAAGGCCGTGCCACGTGGAGGTGCAGTAGAGGAGGAGGGAGGTACAGCAAATGCCGCCAGCTGTCAGCGAAGTGACTTGCTCCTCTCGTCTCTTTCAGTGCTGGTTTCCTCCCCTTCGGGCGTTGCGATGACGCCTTGGGATGGCTCATTCCCCTTCTATCCTAACGTGAACACGTACTTCCCCTTCGACACCACCCAAGCTGTCATCATCTCTGTCTTCTTCTCCGCTCTGGCCACTTGCATCATCATCCTGCCAGGGATCCGAGGCAGAGGGGTAAGTGGAGGGGCCCTCGTGTCCATGTCCTCTTATCTGCAGCACATCCTCCCTCCCTACCTTTATAAATGACTTAGGAAGCAGGCATGGCTGAGGGCCAGGCTCCTGGGACCTTTTAACCGCCCCAGGAATGAGCTCAAGCCCAGCCCACCACTTACCCCATTCCTGCGAGGCCAGACATCACCATCCCAAATGTACAGGGATCCGTAAGTCCAGATGTGAGCTTAGCAAGCACTTTGTGAGACTGAGCTATGAGCAAGCTAGAGTGATTTCACAGGAGGAAAAAAAAACCTTCGTGAGGCACCATGAACTTGTTCTGCTTCTCTGGAGCCCTGAGAAACTAAGGTGTGTGCTGTGCATGTCACGACACCATCTGGAAGCTCACATGCCTCCACATACGGCCACAGCAGAGCGGCAGCCCAAGAGGGAAGGTCTCTCCGGTAGGCTAGGTGGATGCCCGGCTTTGCAATGGAGCTGGCACAGGAACAGCTCCCACCGTGGGGGACATTGCAAACCTTGGCAGCTGTTTGTGTCTCTGGTTGCGACCAGCTGTCGACACATGTAAAGCTTGTAAAATTGCAGAAATGTGGGTTTAGGAATATCGAAAGGAAGCGCTTCTATCCCTCCAATAGAGGGAATGGTATAGCTTTGACATATGGTTTTTTTTATGTTTTATGTTTTATGTTTTATGTTTTATGTTTTATGTTTTATGTTTTATGTTTTATGTTTTATGTTTTATGTTTTATGTTTTATGTTTT